TAACCTACTGACGATGATGATGATGAGGCCCTACTGTAAAAGTTCAACGTTCATATGCTGCTGCTTTTGGATGACTGCACTTTATTCTCGTATTCTGTAAAGGAACTGAAGAAGACCACTATGGCCTTCGGTTCACCGGCACCTCGCCTTGACCTGAAAATAATAATAATAATAATAATAATAATAATAATAATAATTGTTCAGCTGTAACACCCTTTCGGTGCCTAGTTGTCATGCCACCCAAAGGTTGCACGAGGGCTGGGATACTGCCAGGCTGCCCAAGTCTAAACAGGGGAAGTCGAGAGGCAGAGGTCGGGTTCGAACCACGGATCTTCCGATCAGTAAATTCGCGCTCTAACCACTTGGGCCATCTCGACCCCGATGGACTTACAGTTAGGTGCTCACCTTCCCCTAAGATCTTGCCTTAGTGTGTCATTGCCATCTACAAACTGTATAAAATAGTCTGGACATGGTTTTCACGTCCGTAGGGGAGATCTGGATGATGTTTGACTTTGGATTCTAACTGACTTCCGCATTAGACACACGTTACAATTCTGCTAGGTCAGAGGTCGTTTTTTTCATTGCCAAAAGGGATCCAACCCAGATCACAATGACGATCCTCAACATGCCACCCAACTGAGAATTTCCATTTGGAGTCATATCGTAAGAACATAGCAAACTGGTAAGTTGTGAAACAAACTAACGCCACCAACATTTTCACGTCATCCTTGAGTTTCCGGGTGATTCTTCCAACTGAGAGCGGACACCAAGTGGTCATGGTTACCCCCTATGCTTCACTTGTCCGATGGCACTGAGTGCTCAGACTGGAATAATCTCACGCATGGCTCCATTCGTTCAGTGAAACCAGTGAACATCTGTCCTATGTGTGCACGGTTCAAGGTTTCGGTTGTTACACGAGGAACATATGTCCCGGCTAATGGTAGTGCAACACGAGTGCAGTTGCCAGTCATTATAGACGGCTCCGTAGAAATATTTTTCTCATTAGTGAGCGGGAAGGGAGAACGAATACGTGAAAGGAGTGAGGCGTCAGCACGCTGTCAAAAGTTTTAATTATGCAGCCTATGGAAGTTATTGAGAGGTTGAGGTCGTTCAACATATCTTGTTACCCTGAATAGTAAACAAGCCATAGAGATGGAATAAGAACTTTTGGCATTAGCAAAGTCGGTCACAAAACAAGGCAAAAAAGTAAGAAAATAACCAATCACTGGTTAGCCGTTGGACTTGGCTGGTTGAGTTGAACGTGCTCGACTGTGAGGGATGGGAGCATTCCGGAGTTCGTTTGTGGAGTCAGAGAGTCTTGCGGAATCTCCTCCAACAAGTTGGGACCAATTATGAGCGGGCAAGTCGATTGAGCGATCGGTGTTTCGAGAGTTGTTCCTGGTTGTCCTGGACGCCAGGTGACGGAGCATGTCCAGAATCACATCGGGACTGCATCCGATCCGAATTAGACCAAGTGTATGCCTGTGGAAGAGTATGAGAAAAATCCGGTGTTCAGCAGTCAGAATAACACTAAACGCTCTTTCCCACAACATATGAATGGAAACGCTGGGGTAAGTTCAATACATTGAGTTGATTCGATGGCGTGCAGATGAATTCCGAAATTGGACGAGTTTGGCTGTGGTAACCTTTAGGCGCGAAACTCTCATCCTACCTGGAATGAGCAGCCTTATGGTGCCACTTAGCCCAATCTTAGATAGAAGCCACTGAAAACCCACACATGGGTTCGAACCACAAACATCTTAATCAGCGGCCAGCAACCTAACATTTAAACAGTCCCGAGCCAGTAAAATCAACCACAACCAGCGCTTGAGTGGCACATCACCATATGAAACACGGAGCAATCTAGTTCAGCGAGAGACAGAGGGGACTGCACTGCTAAGAAGCACTGTGAAGAATCTACCACCACGGCACGCGCTAACTAGGAACTCTATAGACTCAACACCCCATTTAGTGACCTCACTGAAGAATGCTGTGTCAGCGATTTAGCAGCAAGAGCGGCAAAATGACCGCCAAGTGACAACTTTACCAGTTTACCAGGTGTGAGGATGTGCCTCGTACATCCTGAAACAGGTAAGTGCAAGTGCACCGCGGGCAACACAGGTCACTTCTAGATAAACCGCCGCATAAAGTTTCCACCCAATCCCATTTAAAGTAAGGGACAGTTTGTCACTCTTAGAGACGGAAGATAAGTGGACACAGAACACAACATAGACAATCCTGTCCAGCGACGTCAAAAAGAGACGGAAGTTTCACTCGGAATTCAGAAGGAAAGCATGGTAAATAACCCAGTACAATTAGCTGGTAAACAAGGTTCTGGTAGTCTGTCCGTATTACTCGAGAATGCTACTACACCGAGACTCACCGGAAGACTTCCTGGTCTACTGGGACCCCAGACTTGAGAAGAAGTTCGTAGAGTAGAATATCAGTTGACTTCATTAGGGGAACGTACCTGGAAGTAGAGGATGGAGTTCAGATGCACTGTGGAGTGAACGGATAAGATCACACAACCACATCTCCGAGGCGTACAGCTAGGTCACTTACCAGTCATAATATATATGCTACAGCTGAACGATTTTTATTTTTATGTATAAAGTTCGTACGTGTGTCGAACATACGCACATGTATCCTGAAATGGTACAGTTGTCCTGGAATGAACGCGGAACAGTTGTCCAGGTACCAAATTCCTCGGATACTGGTACAGAAAAAGTGAAAGATCGGGCTCCAGAAATACCAAGGGGGATAATCAGTTCAGCTTATCAGCCACAAACCATGTACCAAAGGTACGTCGGTTACAATTGCCAGTCACCGAAAAATGCGAGAGTAGAGGATTGGAGGTAATGGCGTAATCAATTCGTCAGTACCAAAGAGGTCTCGTCGTTGGAGGGAGACAGTTTTGGTGTAGGAGAGCCACTAACTATGTGATCAAGCCAGGTGCATCAATGTCATTCAGACAGGCGGCAGTTGTCAACCCGAATGAGTTTACCGGATAATGCTTTCGCCAGAACACACTGTTCATCTCTCGGTTTTCCAGCCAGTAAAGGGATGGGCGAAATGGACAAACGGTCCTCTGGCATGCGAAAGCAGCACAACTTTTGAAGCGCGAGTAACTCATCCATCGTGGGGAAGTTCAGTTTTTTCAAAAACCATTTGCAGTACCTCGGCGTTTCTAATCTGATGTTCTCATCAGACCCACTTAGTGCTTCGGAGACACCGATGGTCCAAAAACCGATAGGTTTTGTGCATCCTATGTGCGAGTAGGCCACGTTTCCGATACATTTGCAGTGTGGATCGCACCACTTCAGTGTATACCTTGCCGCTGAGAGACAAACTGACTTCGATTCGGGGCCACGAGTGTCGGAGGTTGGTGAAAAATACCCTAGCCTCTCCGATTCAATAAGCGGACTCGTTTCCAGCCAGTCCACTGCCCAAATGCGCATGAAGATAAATTTATCTACTACATCAAGTGGCTCTTCTGCAAGTACGACGTTTCGGTTTGATCGCGCCCAGTCTTGTGTCAACGCAGTGTCACCGAATTCCGCGCGACCTGTGTCTTGGTTTAATTTATCCGCAGGTAAGCCTCCCGGATACGCTTAAATACAGCCTTCAAGTGGACTATGTGCTCTGGTTCCGAATCTCCGTACACAACTATATCATCTCCATAAACGGCAACATTCTGGAGTCCCTTCGTTAAACGAAGCATTAAGCGCCGGAATAGTGCCCCAGACAAACCAAATGGCATCCATCTAAATTAATATTGGGTGCCCCCAACAGTGAACACCGTTTTCTCCCGGTCCTCCGTCTTGATAAATAGTTGCCAGTATCCGGAACGCAAGTCAAACACTGTGAAACAGCGGGAATTCTGGAGGGAATAAAAAATCTCCGCAACCGAAGGGACAGCTACAACCCGACTTATGGCCAGTTCATTCAAACACCTGGAATCCTCACAAAACCGGTATTTTCCGTTCGCCTTCCCCACAAGCACAACCGAGGAGTTGTACGCACTGTTGGCTTCCTCAATCATGACATTTTTCAACATCTCTTGAACTTATTTATGTACCTTGGCTGATGTGACGAGCATGCCAAATCGTGCGGCAGATTATTTACTCAGGTTATGTAAAATGGTTTCGATCTTTGAAGGATTCGAACCAAGGAGAAAAATGGCATTTGCATACTAACCGTCTGTGAGCGAATGCCCTCGTGGTATTTTGATCCCCGAGGTTTCGCAGACAGGAATTTCATGCTGCACATTGATAACAACGAGGAATGGCAAAAGAGGGCGGCCTTTCCTCATACCACTGAACGCGGTGGACTCACGCTAAAGCTTGCTTCACACTCGTACACACCCACATTCAATATTCCCATAGATGTAGACGTAGAAGGGACACAACATACAATAGTAAGGGATTTTAGCGAAATAATTTTTGTTTGTTTTGTTGGGTGGTAGTTTAGACATGGAACGTGTTGGTCAGTTGAAACGTGGGGAAACGGCACGGGTGACGCCAGTGAACGAAGAGCTGCAAGGATAGGTGGTAATTTCCGGTTCCCCAGGCCGAGGAAGGGATTTTGTTTGAGATACCTCACTCTGACTTAAAAGTCTGACTCTAAAGGGAATGAAAGGATATTGGATTTTGTTTCGGTATCCCGACCGTAGAAGGTGACCCAAAAACACGATCCACAAGGCAGAGAATAGTAGATTTTTCCTGGGGACCCGTCCCAGAGAATGGCTCAGTCGACTGACTCACCTGGCGCAAAGGACCGGCCTACTAGGAAGGCACAGGGGGTAAGACAAATGTCTCACTTCTGATGCCATTTCAAATGGAGGGCGCGTTTGGAGCTGAATCGGTCTCCTGGTAAGTTTTCATTAGGTTTACGACGGTGTTGAACAGCTCACATACATCTGATGCCATTTCAAATGGAGGGCGCGTTTGGAGCTGAATCGGTCTCCTGGTAAGTTTTCATTAGGTTACGACGCTGTTGAACAGCTCACATACAAGCCGACCGTTGGGTGATAAAAGTGTGTGGTTTTTGGGTTGGTCTTTTCTAAGTAGGATGTCCCCAAAAATATGGACACGCTCGTCACCTGGAGAAAATAGCTTACTACACACATGCCCCTATTGCAGTGGACAATACGACTTTACCTCCAGACAACCACCACCACAGCTAACCATGTAACGGCGGATACTGATGATGAGGCTCCCGCGTCTGATGGACGGTGAGGTTTAATACGGAACTTGTGAAACTGTTATGCAGCGTTCGCTTACGGTTGCTTGATTGTCAATGAATATCTATGAAAGTTCAAGAAGACGCCTGAGAATGTTCGGTTTCTAAAAACCATGTGCATATGAGACGTTTACTTTACTGTCCAGTAATTTGTAAATGCTTAGTTGGCGTTTGCTAAGAGACTTCGCGGCGAAGGACTTTCCTCACTACAACCGTAGTATGCGGACTCACTGCACTCCGTCGGAGTGTTCCCTTTTGGCCTTCGTTGAATGCTGACAGCTTGTGGAACGGAGTTCCGGCAGGTGTAGCCCGTGGGAACATTAGAGTATTCAAGTGGAACCACCACCACAAAGTGGCAGCTTTTGGTCGAACAAATAATGGGGGAGTCCACCGTAGCGGAAATGCACGGAAGATGCTCAGCTAAATCGCCAAACAGTCTGTTGGTAAGCTAAGCTAGTAAGAGCAAGCACCTGGGCTGGGCAACTCAGTTAGCCATTAGCTTCCATACCTGCGACTTTTATCCGATTCGCACTTTGTTAGTTCAGATCCTCCCTTGGTGGATGAGGTATTAATATGGCTTTCTGCTTTGAATCACCAAGGCACCGCCGAACGAGCTCCCACCTGCATCATCACCATCATTGACAGCAACACTACATGAGAACGGGAGCGAGATGGCTCAGTTTACTGACCGGAAGTCCGCGATTCTAACCCAACCACTGCACCTCGACTGCTTCTGTTCAGACTTGGGCAATCTGGCAGTATCTAGGTCCTCGTGCTTCCTTTAGGTGGTCTGGATGCTGGGCACCAAAAGGGTACTACACCTGAACGATGAATTTTTTTTTACTATTATCGACTCCCTTCAGTTGGTTAGGACAGTCTCTTTCGGCTTGCTGATCAGCGCACCTCTTTGCCACCCGAAGTCTGGCAGTTCGTTGGCTTTTAATGTGCTCTCGATTGGGGGAATGTGTCTGTGTTTCGAGTGACGCTGGGGTCCGTCGTTGGTTGCGCTCTTACACGAGCGGAGTGCCCAACATCTTGCAGAGTGGCAGAAACTACCTTCCAGTAAGAGTCGATATCAGAAGACGTCTTATCCAAAAAGGAATTCAGTAAGTGGCTCCGGCAATTTTGTTTCACATCACGGCCCGAGAGTTCCTCACTGCCCAGATGAGGTGTGCACACTTTGCGCGCCCCTGAAAGGCGGCACGAGAAGTAGCAACGAACAAATGCGTGATTCGATTCCACGCAGGTGTTTCAGAACGAACGACAGTTAGTGGTTGACTTATACCACCCATAGCTGATGGCGACGTGGTCTACGTGTGTTTCAGATTGGTTTGAGTGTATCATGTGCCTAAAATGGCCTCGGTTGTTTTGGGAGTCAGTACTGCAATGAAACAATTTGTGGTCAGTGCATAAGTGCAACAGCTGTTCGCCGTCGTCCGTACATCTAGAGTCTAGTCCTAGACGACCACCCAATTGAGCCTCAGCAGTTCATTCGCATCCCCGGCAATCACATCTGAGCACTTAGTCAGCCGCAACAAGGCTCCCAAAGCGTCGTAAAAACTTTCTTTGAGTGTATCAAAGCTACAGTCTGTCGGGGTGTCAGCAGATAGGATGAAAAAGCACTGATTGTCGGTGCACTTATGTGGCACCTCCGCAGGTGTTGCACAACGAAACGCACTGAAGCGATTATCAACAGGGCGCCTTCCAACTATAGACGCTTTGGCTCAATGCCCTAGAAGAATATGGACTCCGGTAAAACCAGAAGCAGCAGCTTCCGAATCATCAGAAATGCTCTGTAGAGCTCAAGATAGCTGTTGGGGATACCAATATCCCCCCAAAAACGCTGTATTTTTATGTGTGCTTGTTGGGGATATCAATATCCCCCAGAAACGCTGTGTTTTTATGTGTGCTAGCGGACTCCCGGCATCTTCGAGGTCAAACTATGAAAAATCAATGGCCTATTGATACTCCAGGGAAATTTAAATCCGACCACGTACAGGAAACTATTCGTTCCACTGACTTGGGTTCGGAAGCTCGGGGGATCGCCTGTTGAAAGTGTGTTGTTGGATTATTAAAGTTTGTGTCCGAGGTTTTCGTCTTCTTACTATTCGCCGTGCTAGGAGTCTGGATCAAGCAACATAGCTGGGGATAGAGTATTGCCACAATCCGCATTATCATATTGTTTGCTCGCTGCGTGACAGAACCGTAACATATTTGGCGACTCAAAGTAATGTTTGAACAACAACTGCAACTCATCAAAGTACTCACGGAGCGACTATCAACTACATCTTTGGCTTCACCGGCTGCGTCGAGCGTCCCACAGTCGGTTGATGGAATCGCTGGCAGTATCAACGAATTTTGCTATGAACCCTCAGCTGGCATAACGTTTGATGCTTGGTTTCGTCGCTATGAAGACCTATTCAGGGTCGATTTTTCACTTCAAGATGATAGTTGGAAGGTTCGCCTCCTGCTCCGCAAACTTGGACCCGCAGAGCATGATAAGTACGCTAACTATATTCTGCCAAAAAACCCGGGCGATTTCCCTTTTGATGAAACGGTCCACACGCTTTCACAAATATTCGGTGAGCAAACGTCACTTTTCAACATCCGTTATCGATGCATGAAGCTAGTGAGGAGTGGTGCAGACGACTTCCTCACATATTCTGGCATCGTGAACCGAGAATGCGAACGGTTCAAACTCGGATCGTTAACGGAAGATCCATGACGCTGCAGGCCGTCACCTCGGGGTCTCAACGATTGCTTAACCCGAAGCATGACACCGCGATGGTCCAACTTGGGGGTCATGGCGGTTCCGAAGTTCATGCAATACATCAGGCTACGCAACAGCCTGGCCCTGTCAAATCTGGCCCAACCAAATCGACCTCGCA